TTCCTGTTCGCCGGCGTGGTTGTACATCCAGGAGATGTCGCCGCCGATCTTTGCTGCCCAGCTCGTTTGGCGGTTGTCGCCCTCGCCTGGGATGTCCTGCTAAAGCGTTGGAGTACCATCTGGGACCTGCTCTAGAACAGCAGCGTGCCGTAGACGGATCTACCCTTTCTCCGACCTTGCACCGCGCCGAACGCAAAAGCCACGTTGTCCATAGACGCATCCACCCCGAAAGTGTCTACGGACGCCACGGCACCCAATGTGTCCGTAGACGCTTTCGACTAACACGTGAAAGCGCAGGGCAGCTTGGCCCTCCGATTGACGTGGTGGACCTGTGAAGTAGCAGCCGTGGACGGTACATGAGGCGCCGCACCCTCACTGAGACGCCTGTTGGTTATCCAATTGCGTCGCTGAGAACCTGCAGGTCACCTGCTCGTCGCCTGCTTGGTGCCCAAGTGGCTTGTCGGCGTCATTCGAAATACTCCGCCGAATAATTGTCCATCTCGCCTGCGGTCACGTTGATCCAAACGTGGCCGCTGTAGGTAAAGGTCGAGTTAACCATACAAAGGGCATAGAGTACCTGCATGTAGACGGAACGCTTGTCTTTTCGAAGATCTGTTTCCTGAGGGGCCCCCTGTTGCTCGTGGCTTAAAGACTAATTTCTTGATGTCGGGTCCTGTTGATCCGTTGGACGTGATGACTCTGCATAGCCTGGTCGACGAGCTCGATAGCCTGGTCGGAGCATTCGCTTTAGATAGCTGTGGTCGCGTCCTTGGCATTCTTCGCCTTGCACTTCATGACATGTGCCAGTATTGGCGCCTCCTCGATTTGGAGCTGGATTGCGGCTGTTTGTGCTGATCGCCAGGTGCGTTAACTCCGTACGAGGTGAGGTCGTCAACGAAAATCCCTCCGTGAGTGCCGTGCCTCCGCCTTGTCCGTCTTGACATCATCGACTTGATGCGAGGGTTGGTTACTGATCCGGTCGATGGAGTATGTCATAGTTGCTGCCGTGTTGGACCATGCCCTCTGCATTCTCCTCGTGATGCGAGCGAAGGCGCTGTTGATACAGACGTCCAATATGGGGCCTCCTTGCATCGTACCGGTGCGTGGTTGGGCTATTCGTTTAGATTCTCTGGTTGTGGCCCAAGTGTCTGCAGAGTTGCCAGGTGCTCGTCGTCGATGTTCGGCTCGGTGCACGATGCGCCCTGCCTCGCTCCGGATAACATTGGGAGCCTGTCGTACATGCCGTTGAGCTCCCGTTCGTCGGTTGGAACCTTGTTCAGAACCTCGAGCGCCTACATGTAGAACGCATCCTTCAGATCCAGGGATAATCGGATAACCATACTCCGCTATCCTCCTCCTTCGCCTCCTCCACCTCCTCCCCCTCCTCCTCCTCCTCATCCTCCTCCTCTTGATCTTCTTCTTGCTCCTCCTCCTCCTCCTCCTCATCCGCCTCCTCCTCCTCCTCCTCCTCCTCTTCCTCCTCCTCCTCTTCTTCCTCCTCCTCCTCCTCTTCCTCCTCCTCCTCCTCCTGCCCGGCATCCTCTTCCTTCGGCGATCGGCGCTCTCCTCGCGGCGCCCGCCGCCTTCTCGCCCCGCAGCGCCGCGTGGCTCTTCTCCACGTGGCGGAGCCACTTGGCGGGCAGGCCCACGTGGCCGTCCAGCACGTGCACCTCCAGGCCGTGGGCCTCCGCCTCGCCGTTGGGGGGGGGGGGAGGGGGAGGGGGAGGAGGAGGAGGGGGAGGAGGAGGGGGAGGAGGGGGAGGAGGAGGAGGAGGAGGAGGAGGAGGAGGAGGAGGAGGAGGAGGAGGAGGAAGAGGACAAGTCAGGAGCCACTCCTCACCACCCGGGGACAGCCCAGAATCGAATCGATTCGGATCGGCGATCGAAACGGATCGGATCTGGATCGGCGGAAGTCGCCATGCCAATATTTCTCCCGTGAGAAATCGGAGCCCAAATCGGAATCCCAAGCCGAATCGAATCGGAATCGGAAGTTATCGAAATCGGATCGAATCGAATCGGAGGAATCGAGACGAGCCCTGGGGGTGGTCTCCGGGGCGAGGAGGGCCGCGCGGTGCTTCTGGAAGCTCTTCCGGGGGCCTTCCCCAGACCTGCCCGCGTCGTCTGCCACGAATCCTACGGAGGGCGGGCTTCTGGCCGGGGGCTCTCGCGGGGCAGTCCACGCGCGGCTCGAGAGGGAAAAAAGCCGGGGATCGGGACAAGCCGGGGAACGCGTACAGTCAACCCTCCAGGCCGTGGGCGTGCGCCTCGCCCCAGGGGGGCAGGAGAGCCCAGAACCGAATCGACAAGGCGGATCGGCGATCGGAACGAATCGAATCGGACGAATCGAGACGAGCCCTGGGGTGGTGGAGGGCTCCGGGGCGAGGAGGGCAGTACGGCGCTTGGGGGAGTTTTTTCTGGGGGCGTCTCTTGGGCCGCCTCGGGGCCCTCTTGGGCCGTCTTGGGGCTCCTCCTGGAGCCCTCGTGGAACCCTCTTGGGCCCTCGTGGAACCCTCTTGGGCCGTCTGGGGCCGCCCTGTGGCCGTCTGGGGGCCTCTTGGATCTGCCCGAGCAGCTCCCTACGGGGCGTCCGCCCGCAGGGGCATCCCCGAACCCCACCGGCAGACCCGCCGCGACGCCTGGGCCTCGTCCTCCGCGGCGTCCTCGGGGGAGCTCGTCGTCGTCGTCGTCGTCGTCGTCGTCGTCGTCGTCGTCGTCGTCGTCGTCGACACCGTCGGCGTCGTCGTCGGCGCCGGTGGCGTCGTCGTGTGCGACGGTGTCGTCGTCGTCGTCGTCGTCGTCGTGGTCCTGATCCTCGGCCGCTTCGTCGTCGGCGTCGTCGTCGTTGTCGTCGCCGTCGGCGCCATCGGTGGCGTCGTCGGCGCCGTCGGCGGGGTCGTCGGCGCCGTCGGCGGCGGTGTCGTCGTCGTGGTCGTCGTCGTTGTCGTCGTCGTTGTTGTCGGCGCCGCCCTCGACGTCGTCGGCGGCGTCGGCGGAGTCGTCGGCGTCGGCGACGTCATCGTCATCTGCGGCGGTGTCGTCGTCGTCGTCGTCGGCGGAGGCGGCGGCGGCGGCCGCGGTGTCCTGGTCGTCGTCGTCGTCGTCGTCGTCGTCGTCGTCGTCGTCATCGTCGTCGGCGTCGCCAGCGGCGTCGTCGGCACCGTCAGCGAAGTCGTCGGCGCTGGCGGCGTCTTCGTCGTCGGCGCCGTCGGCAGCGTCGTCAGCGACGTCATCGTCGACGTCGTCGTCGCCGTCGTCGTCATCGCTGTCGTCAACGTCGTCGTCGGCGCAGTCGGCAGCGTCGTCGACGCCGTTGGCGGGTCGTCGGCGCCGTCGACGGCATCGTCGCCGGCAGCGGTGTCGTCGTCGTCGTCGTCGTCGTCGTCGTCGTCGTCGTGGTCGTCGTCGCCGTCGTTGTCATCGTCAACGTCGTCGTGGTCGTCGGTGCCGTCGGCGTCGTCGTCGTAATCGTCGTCATCTTCATCCTCGTCCTCGTCGTTGTCGTCGTTGCCGTCCTCAACGTCGTCGTCGTCGTCGTCGGCGCCGTCAGCAGCGTCGTCGGCGACGTCGTAGTCGACGTCGTCGTCAGTGCCGTCGGCGTCGTCGTCGTCGCCGTCGTCGTCGTCGTCGTCGTCGTCGTCGGCGTCGTCGTCGTCGTCGGCGTCGTCGTCGCCCTCGACGTCCTCATCGTCGTCGTCGTCGTCGTCGTCGTCCGCGCCATCGGCGGCGTCGTCGGCGCCGTCGGCGGCGTCGTCGTCAGCGGCGGTGTCGTCCTCGTCGTCGTCGTCGTCGTCGTCGTCGTCGAAGTCGTTGTCGTCGGCACCGTCGTCGGCGCTGCCGTCGTCGTCGCCGTCGTCAGGGAGACAAGGCGGAGGAGGATGAGGAGGGATCAGAAGGAGCAAAAGGAGGGGAAGGAAACGAGGGAGGGTAAGGAGGAGGAGGAGGAATGAGGAGGATGAGGATGAGGATGAGAATGAGGACGATGATGGATATGATGATGAGGAGGAGGAGGAGGACGAGGAGGAGGAGGACGAGGAGGCGCAGGAAGAGGAAGAGGAGGCGTAGAAAAAAAGAGGAGGACGAGGAAAAGGATAATGACTCCGGCCTGGTTGAATTTCGCATTCGCGAAATGTATTAGGAGCGCGGAGAGGCGCGCTAGGGGGGCGGCAAGGAGGAAGCCGTGGAGGAGGGGGAGGACGATGAGGAGGAAAAGTCTATCTATCTATCTATCTATCACCTGGCGCGTGTACCTGCTGCAAGGCAAGGGCACGCTTCACACAAAGCTAGACCTCAGGGAATTTGCCACCAGATTTAGGTGGGAGGCCATGCTTCAGACGAGACAAAACCTCCTTCCCAGCTCTCGTGGGAGGTTCACAACAATTCTTGAGGTCGCGCGGGAACTCTACACAGCGCCTCCCGCAAACCTCACAATAGAGCACACCTCTGAGACAGGCAAGGTGGTGAGAGGGATGAACGAATTCAGCACAAGGATGATCGAGGGCAGACTCCCCGCCCCCACCCTCCCCCGACGGTGGGCCTAGATCATCAGGCGCACGGGCAGGGGCGCCTGCGGTCGCAGCGCCTCGTGGAGAAGGGGACCGAGGACGGAGCCGTTGAACACGCTGCTGCACAACAGCACGGGGCTTGCACGGGTTCGGTCAAAATTCTGAGAGTTGGCCTACACGCTGAAAGGACTGATGGCAGAGAGAGCGCTTAAGGATAGACGGACGGACAACCACAAAATGACCTTGAGCACTCAATATATTACATCGCTCCTGTAAAGCAGAGATATTCCTGGAACGTTCACGGGAGACCCCTCCAGGATGCTCACGCTGGGATTGAAACAAGCATTCACGCTGAACCGATAACAGTCGGCTAAGTACAAGGCTAGCTTTCTCATCAGCAAGCAGGGTCCCCCTCGCAAGTTCCTCAGGAATCTCACCAGCATCAGCGGCTTTGCCCGCGAAAAAATCAGCAGACTTATCTACATAGAATTCAATATCACCGAAAATCATATTCTGACATTGGGCCTGGGTGGGGTGTCCTTTAGTCCATCGAACGTCAATCGATCAGCCTCGGGCCGTCATCGCATCACGCAATTGCGCCCGCAAGTCAAGAGTAGCTGATTTCCGTTTGGCCTTGAGAGTCTTGCGGGAGCCCTTGACGACAGACATGTTATCGCAATATACGCGAATCGCACCAGTAGAACGTTTAGCAAGCTCGATCAGGGCAAACAGCTCAGCTCGGCCAGCGCTCTGCACCTTAGTTGGCAGAGGACCGCTGGCCACTCCATCAAAAAGTCCATGGGCACCTAGATGGACAACAGCCCAGCCACACCGCCGCAGGCGCCAATCTTTATGATTTCCCCCCCCCAGAACCGTCGATTCCCCAAACACCGCCATGCACTTTTGCCCCATTCAAGAGGCTGCCCCATTCCCAAGACAAGGTTTGGGGTGGGGGGAGGTGACCAACGAAATCAGACAAAGGGGGTAAACCTCGCAACCAAGAGCGCACTTCTGTCATGTTGGGAGAGGGCGTCAGGCACGAGGTGGCTTGTTTTATCAATCGAGCTGCCCAGCAGATCAGCATTGCATGGGCAACCCCAGAAACGGTGCGCAGCTGTTTCAGACGCAGCGCCACACCGAGGGCAGATGCCTCTGGTGTAGGACTCGTAGCCCGCCTGAGCGATGCGGTCCTCGGTCCAGAAGCCACCCGTTAAAACGTTCCGAAGCATGCCGGCAGCTTCGCGCGAGTTTTCTTTCTCAAGCTTTCTCAAAAACTTCCGACCACAGTAAAATCAACTCCTCCTTCCAAACCTGATCCAAGGTAATGGGCAGAGGCAGCGACCGGGAAATCTGGCCACATGCACGGGTGAGCGCCTGCCACAGAGCATGAGGAAAATACTATCAGTAATCCTCAGCTCGGCGCCGTCCTCCAGGCGCTGGTAAACGGGGCTATTCGGGGCAATCTTGAGGCCCATCAGGACCGCAACGGTGGCTGCAATAGGGCCTCGAACTCGTTGCCAGCGATACTTGGCACGACCGAAGGCCTGAGAGATGGTGGCCCAAGTCTGAGCCACCTGCATGCGCATCTGGTGATTCGAATCATGCCAGACGTCTGAAAAAGCCATCAGCTGCTTATAGCGAAGCCTAAACTGGGGGTCATCCTTGGCAGCGCTCACGAGAGCCAAGACTGAAGTGGTGCAGGCGCCAGGGGCCCAGCGACCAGAGCAAGTCGCAGCTTGCGCACGGACAGAGCGAATTTGACCAGGAGTAAGGCCCGGAACCTGGTGGCCCCAGGACCCCACAGCCAGCGCTCCTGGCTTACACAATCTGCGGGCACTCCCGACGATTTTGCTCAAAAAAAAACCTTCTTGGCCTTCTTGGAGGCCTGTGCCCGTCGATGTCTAAGCTTGGCAGTAAAACGTCTCTTACCTGCCGTAGGTCATGACCCCCAAATCTCGGGCAGCTTCAGCAAGCTTGATAGGCAAACCAGTAGCCTGAAATCGTAACTGCAATTCCTTACCAAGTTCAATGTGCCTACAAACCAAGGTAGATTTATCAGAAATAATACAATTAAGTTGTTGAAGTTCATGGGTGAGATACATAGCAGCTGGAACCAAGTATTTCATGATAGCTTCGGGGGAACCTTGCTGGGATTGGGTCGAATCATCGACGTGCCCTTTGATAGCCACAGGTCGGAATTGCACGTGCATGGTGTCGAGCAACTCGTAAATATAAATCTTGACCCAACTCAATGACTGCATACAGCCGGCCAAGATGATTCAGGCGCAATGATGTCGGACACAAAAGCCGCCGACCTCCAGCAACCTAGGGGCAGCATGGACCAGGATACCGAAGTACAGAAGGTGAACAGGGCAATCCATTTTCAAGGCGAGTCCAACCAGGCGATGAGGGTCGATCGAATCAAAGAACCTGTTCAAATCCCAGTGGGCCCCCACAGAACACAGGCCCCGAAACCTAGCGACCTCATGACCGACTTCGCGCAGCATAGCCGCCTGCAGGGCACTAGAACCTTTCATAGCAGTGTCCCAAAAGTTGGACCGATCAGCAGTCCATTCGTCCAGATGGTGATTACGAGCTTTACAGTAGACCCGATGTAAGGTAGGGCATTTACAAATGGGACGGTCACAATCAACACTCTTGGGAAGCAGAGCAATCACACTCAAAAGCGTCTGGGTGGGCCACATGAGGCCTTGTTCGCACTGATTGAGGAGAGCAGCGGACCCCAAAACAGCGCCCTTGGGCAAGTCCAAAATCGACCGCGGGTGCCAATGGTCAACTCCTACAGCGGTGGTAGCAGAGAAACATCGAGATGCACGGTGCACATCGCTGACCTCCAGAGGGCCCAGCAATTGCAAAGCCACAAGGGCATGGGGCCTAAGGGAGTCCAACACACCAGAAAGGTTTCCGCGGGCCCCAGGGTCAAAGGTCCAAACGTCACGCCAGTATTGCTCACGATACTGGATCAGATCAGCTGGGAGCTGACGAATGTGAGCATGGGTCACGAGCACCTCAGGGGGCTCCCCAAGATCGTATTTTAACCAATCGTGGACTCTCTTAGCACCTTTAGGCAAAACACGGAGGAGCCAATTCTTCATGTTGGCTCGCGATGTGGCCTTAGCTTCGCGCCAGGCAGAAGCAAGAGCAGCAGAGACAGCGGCCGATATATCGTCCAGCGCACCAATCTGGGTGGGCGGGCTACTAAGCTGAGCCTGCCACCAGTCGATGCCTCGAACGTCGTCGGCCAACAAAAATGCAGAAATCTTATCAGCTAAGCCTCGGAGGGCGCTAACTAAGGCAGTGACCATGCAATTAAACTTGCGAGCGATGTAGAGGCGGTATGCCCACAACTTCTGAGAAAAGGTGAGCCCAGAAAGCCAAACCAGGATATCGAAAGCTTTGTCCAATAGGGCCACGCCTCCTGATATCATTATTCCGGAAAGTGGGGAACTCGCCTCTATGCGTATCAGGTAGATCATCTACAACAGCACAGGCACGGGAAGCGTAGAGGCTCCCACTAGCACGAGGCCAGAGCAGATACGCAATAGAAATGTTTGTGGAGAGGTGGTCGGCCACATGTGATATCAAAGCATCTCCCAAAAATCCAGGGACCCATGGTGGTCCAGGATCAGCAACACGTTCCAGAAGAACCTCCCGTGGACGATCAGGTCCAGGACATTCAAGAAACGGAGGTGGACGACATCTCTGCCACATTACTTGTTCCAGAGCCTCATGCTTGAGAGTAACTGGCAGACAGCAGTGGGTCTTAAAAGGGGCTCGGGTTGAAGGATTTCACATCCAAAAAGCTAGCCAAATCATTGGAAGCAGCCGCATAGTCAATCATGGACCCCCTGCCCTGAGAACGTAACTTCAACATCAGAAGGAGTACAAATTCTACCTCTTGCAAGTTGCGGAAATCCACTGAGATCCACATCTTGGGCAGGTACATTAAAGTCGCCCATCAGACACCGAGGGATAGACAGAGTCCCCAAGAATTCCAAGACGGACCGAAGACGCTCGATCTAATCTCCACAGACACCCAGGTCCGAAATCAGATAAATAGCGCCGACAGCGATAACAGCACGCTGAGTTTTTAATTCCAGGAAAAAACCAATTGGGGCCAGCACCAAATTCCTGGAGGCCTTTCTCAAAGGCCAAGAAGCGCCTAAAAGCCAGGCCCTTGGAAACCACAGCTCCTACACCTCCATGGGTTCCCCCTCCAAGGGAGGGGAAAGCAGGGTAAAAGTGCGGCCTCCAGCCGATCTGCGCAGCATTGCGCTTGGCCTTCTTCACACCATCAGGTCGTAGATGTGTCTCCACCACGAAGAACCCGTCCGAGATCGGCCTAAGCTCCTGGAAAAAGTTCAGGACGACCTCATTACAAAAAGTGATGTTGCAGAAATGTAAGTTGATCTCCCCAGCCAAGGTACGACCACGCGAAACACTGCCATGATCTTGCAGCCGTTGAACGAGCTGGCTAGGGGAGGTGCTCGGAGCACTGAGGGAGCCCACCAGAGCCTGCCGCAGGCCAGGGGGCAGCTGATTGTCCGGCCTGAAATGGTTGTCCAAAAGGTCCGCCAACTTGCATTTGTTGTAGCACACGTTCGAACGAAGCCGCTGCACCTTCACGAACTGTACGCAACCTCTTAGCTGCTTTGACCTGGGACTGCTTCTGCATAATTTTTTCCATCTTATCCAACTCTTCGGGTGTGAGTGCATTGTCGATGCTGCGCTTCTCGAGGGAGTCAAGTTCCGCTCGATTGGCATCTTCATTGGTAGCCTCACTAGATGAGGAGGAAGAGGAGGAGGAAAAGGAGGAGGAGGAGGAGGAGGAGCAAGGGGAGGAACAAGGGAGGAGCAGGGGGAGGAGGAAGGACAGGAGGAGCAGGAGGAGGGTAAGGAGCAGAGGGAGGGTGGAAGGAGGAAAACGGACAGAAGGACAGAGGGAGGAGGACGACGAGGAGGAGAGGACGAGGAGAAAGAGCAGGAGGAGGAGGACGAGGAGAAAGAGCAGGAGGAGGAGGAGGAGGACGAGGAAGAAACCGAGGATCAGGGAGGGGGGTGGGGGAGGGGGGGGGGGGGGGGGGAAGGACAGGGGAAGAGCAGGAATACCCTCCCCCATCCCTCAACAACTCTGGCCCGCCCCGCTGGTCCTGACCGAGGGGGCCGTGGGCCGCGTTGCTCGCCTGGCGGGGCGCAGGGCCCCCCCCCCACACACACCGACGCCAACCCCTCCTGGACACAAGCGGAGACGCAGGAGGGCCATATGGGGGGAGGACGACACCCTACTCCTGCCATGGCTCTTGCTCCTCCACGTCAGGGGAAGAAGGAAGGAAGGAGGGGCGATGACGGCGATGATGATGAAAGTACTGATGATGACGGTGATGACGATGCTGTTGATGATGATGAAGATGATGATGATGATGGTGATGATGATGGTGACGATGATGATGCTGATGCTGATGCTGATGCTGATGATGATGATAATGATAATGATAATGCTAATGATGATGATGATGATGATGATGATGATGATGATGATGATGATGATGATGATGATGATGATGATGATGATGATGATGATGATGATGATGGTAGAGGCGGTGATGATGAAGAAGGTGGTGGTGATGCTGCGCAAACCCCCCGCACGTCATAAATCTGGTGTGACAGGGAATGCGCAGGCAGGGGGCGCGGGGTGGAGGGCTGGTGCCGCTGCGGCAGCGCTGGTAGCCCAGGGCGGCCACAACCGCGCAGGCGCGCCAGACGACGAATGTGCAGACGCGCTCTGCGAGCGCACCGCGCCGTCGCGCCACGGCGCCGCCGGCCGTGCCGCGGCGACGCCGCAGCAAGCTCCGCATGGGCGTTCGGTGCGTCAGCGACCAGCCGCCCGCCCGACTCGACGATAATGCTGCGCACGCTCGGCCGTAGAGGTTCTCCTTGCGCTGGTCGCCCGCTGCCACCGCAGACCCTGCGGCCCTGCTTCTGGCGGGCAGCGCGCCTTCCAAGGGCCAGCGCACGTTGACGTCGAGCCAGGGCGGTCGAAGCCCATGCGGATCAGATGAGAGCAAGCGAGAGAACGGGAAACAGCCGGCTGCCACGACAACGTTGCGCAGGATGCAACCGCTTGGATCGCGCACAAAGGAATGGGGAGTTTGACTTATTGCCTATGGCCCAGCCGGGGGAGGGGCCAACGGGGCATAGGAAGGTATGGCGGCCAATAGGAATCCTTCAATCAGGCGGTGCGGGTACTGCCTCAAGCTGGCACAACACCGACAGGGTTTTTCTGTATATGCCAAACGGGCACTGCGGCGGTGGCCTCGACCGCCCCCGCTCCTCGGCCCTCCCCTTTGCGCCCTCCCAATGGAACGGCATCCCCCCAAGTGTAGGGGGAGTGCGATCACGTGGGGGTCTCGGTCCTCGCAGGCACGACATAAGAAGCAGCGTGTGGGATTATGGCCGCCTCTCTGCGTGCAACATGCAATCCATGGCAGCCTCCGTAGACAGGTATGGATCCTCCGGAATGCAATGCCTTCTCAGCCCACCGGGCAGCGGCAAGCGGTGGCCTGAACGGATCCAATCTAGCGCCACCCTTAGGGCCCCCCCCCTAATCAGGGTCCACATCGTGCCCCCAGGTGCCAGAAGGTGGAAGGAGACAGGGGGGCGGAATCTCTTTCAAGACTACCAACATGGATTTCGGGTTACCTATCGCTGGCCTCCTGGAGCAGGCTCAAGGCAATCACCTTGCAATGACTACTGCAGGATCCCTAAGGCGTATTTTGGCGCCCCCCCGACCCATCCACCCACCCGCCCACCCGTGCCCGCCCACCCCCGCCCCTGCCCCACCCGCGCGCGCGCGTGCATCCACGTTCGCGCGCGCGCGTCCGGAAGAGTAAGCCCAGAGAGGGCAATGCGAGGATAATCGCGATTGGAACGGGACCCCCTTCCCTGGCATTGAAGAAATGGCCCATCGTTCTCGCGCGCGCAGAGTAGAACAACGGGCTCAAGAACCCGCGCGCAAAACCCACGCTGATGAATGATGGCCATGGGCCACCCTTACGACCCACAGGGGCCTTGATGTCTGGGTGCGGGCAAACGCTGGGACATCCACGAACGCGGGGGCGGTGGGCAGGATGTCCCATGATCGCAAAGCCCCCGCGCAACCGAGTCTCGCACAACCAACGCAAGAAACACAAGTTTTGGTTGTCTGAGAAAGCGGCTGGCCACCGACACCTGCAAGTTCTTTCTGCCGGGCAAAGGCACCGGATCCCTGCGGCGCGTGACCGACCTGAGCGATCTCGGTGGCCACCGCGCCTCTGGAGCTTGTCGATGTCTGGCCTGGCATGCCCGGCCTCTACATGTCCTGGGCGCAACAGTTCGAGCCGCGCGCGCGGCCTCTGGGTTGACCGCGCGCCCAAAGATGGGACGGCTGGCGACGTGCATGCTGAGGGCCCACCGCCTGGAAGGACATGTTAGCGGGAACTCCTCGAGTTTGCTTTTTCAAGTCCCCCGCGCCGCGATGCCTCGGAAAGAGATGCGGGGCGCGCTCGCGCGGTCTCGCTGGCGCGCGAATCAAGGCGCAGGTGGGGGGGGGGCTGGAAGCAGGCGGGCGCGGGGCCGCAGTGGGGGAAAGCTGGCCCCCAAAGGATGAGCAAAGGATGGGTCTCAATGCTGTCCAACGCTCCCTCGAGCCTGGCTGCGTTCGTGGCGGCGCAAAAACCATAGCCACAACCGAGCGACAACATCGACCGCCGAGGTTGTCGTGACCAGGGTGGCGGCCCCAAGGAACAGACGGATCGCCGAGGGGGTCGCGTCGGCGACCCCCCCCCCAGCCCCACCCCGCCCCCCTATCTCCCTCCGCAGTGCCCTTCGACGAGGGTCGTAATCGCGCAATCTTGGGCCGCCCCGCCCTCGCGCGTCTACGATGCCACTTGGAACGGATGCGGGAACATAACATATTTTGATAATGTTCGCCCAGAGGGGCGGCCCGAGGGAGGAATTTAAGCCCCCCAAGATGCGCAATGATCTTGGGGGACAGGGGGGGGGGCAAGGGACGCGCTCATTGCTTGGGGGCTAGCCTGTCGCACTCACTGAGGAAACTGTCGTGGCCAGGGCCGCCCCCTTCCCCTTTCTCATGGCGCCCATCAGGTAGTCCAGACCCAAGGCAGCGGGGGCGGGATCTGCGCACTTGTCCCCGGGGCCCGAAGACGAGTCAGGGGGCCCGCTGTAGCTGCAAACCAAATCCTCCGCCCAGGGCCAATGTCCTTGCTCGACCTCCCGGAAGAAACCCTGCGCGTGACAAGTAGCCTCCGCATGTGTCGCGAGTGCCTCGAGAGGGGGGTGGCTCCCCAGGGCGATTGGGCCCAGAAACGCCATCGCCTGTCACACAGGCAATGAAATCGCGCCCATTTTAAAGCCCCGCCCTACGTTCAAACACTTGTTTGTTGAAACCCCCTTTCGCGCTTGGGCGCTCGGGCATCTGCCGCCAGCCGAACTGACCCAGCAATATTCTCAGCAAGTGCCAAGTTGTCCTCGTCGATCTTGGTGCTCGTCGGTTGTTTTAGAGCTGTCGGTGAGGGCGCGCAGATTTCGACAGGCGATATCATCGCTCGTCATGTCTCCTGCTCGTTTCAAATCTGGTCGTCAATTCGATGCGGCATAACAGTATCTGAACGGAAGGGGAAGCTTGGAGAGGTCTCGATGAATCGCTGTATTCCCACACCTCGACCGCCAAGCTACATGGGAGTCTAGGTCAGCTGGGGTCCTCGGGAAAACCCCAAACCACTTCCTAACTCCCCTCTGAATGCCCCATGCGACACACTATGACGGCCAGAAGCTCCTGTGAGACGTTGGCTTGCGTGGGGCGGGAGGCTCGACATACTTGCTAGATCCCCCTGGACAGCCTCAAGCAGCTCTCTGTGAATTTCCCGGCGATAGGAACTGATCTCAGATCTTCAGAGAGTGTCGTTCAATCCCTATCAAGGGCCGAGCGGGACATTCCACGGCACTAGGGGTCGTTCGGTTTCCGGTACGCCACTCGAACACCGCAAACCCTGGGGCATCGGGCGGAGGCAACCGCGTCGTAACCCCACAACAATTGAGAACAGGATCTTGGAATTGAGCCCATCGCCGAACGAGAAGCTCACCATGAGCATGTCAGCGCTGTGGTGGAGATCGGATATTGCAAGTATGTGTTCGATCCTACGCTTAGCACCTCTTTGGGCAACAATGGTGAGCCCCTTGAAGTTGGTCAGCACCCTCAACTGGGAACCCAAGCTCAGCTCGTGAAGCTCTGATCCCTGTGAATGTTGTGCCTGAACTGGGGTACGGGAGTACTGAGCCAAGCCTGGCGCTCGCGCCAAGCAGGCCCAGTGGGCGACAATGTGTCACACACTTTGAAAGCAGCCTTCCAAACGTCTTCCCTCATGAGCGTCGTAGCTCTGATATGTGGTGCATGTGCCACAAGGGTGGCCATGGACACAGCAGGGGCCTCCCAACCTGACACAGAGTAGATGAGTAGACCTGTGAACAGCTGAAGATGACGGCTTCCGAAAAGGTGGGTGCGTGTTCTCCTTTATGGCATACGACACCGTGGTATTCACCCAGACCTCACCCCCCAAGCCTAGATCATCAGGCCTTGTGGGAACTGTGTGATAATCAGCAGTTTCTCGAGGGCGCTCTGGGGTTCTGGCCCCCTGTGCCCCGACACGGTGAACCTTGAGGTCGCTCATTCGTTAACCTTCCCTTCCTCCTCCTCCTCCTCCTCCTCCTCCTCCTCTTCCTCCTCCCCCCCTCACTACTTTTCACATTTCCCCTCCACCTCCTCCTCCTCCTCCTCCTCATCCTCCTCATTCCTCCCCTTCCCCTTCCTCTTCACCACCGCGCTCCACCTCATCCTCCTCCTTCTGCTGCTCCTCCTCCTGCTCCTCCTCCTCCTGCGCAACTGCGCATCCACAGAGGTGTGGGGGGAGACCCAAAGCGGGAGGGAAGCAGGGCCCTTGCTTTGCAAGCGGAGGCGGGGCGCTAACCCTCCGAACCCAGACATCGGACGATCTGTTTCTTCCAACGCGCGGCCCCAGAAGTCCCGACCCCTGCCACAGGGGTGGCTGCGCGTCCCCGGCCCGACATGCGTTTTTTTATGATCCCGCGGCAGAGCCAGGCCCAAATTCAGAGATAGAAGAAACACGTCGGGATCGCACAGCTAGCTCTCATTCTCGGAGATCTGGGAAGGTCGCCTTCGCCTGCGGCGCGGCCCTGCCGACCGTGCCCGACGCCAGGCAGCCGGATTCCACCCGCACGGACCGCCTCTGGTCGTCGCAGAACTGCAGCGTGAGGCCGCTCAGCGAGACGTTGCCGCAGTCCTGGCACCAGAGGCCACCCACCATCCCTCAGACGCAGCCAGGACGAGGATAACATCGGGTGAAGATACATCGCGGACCTCTGAGACCTGGCGGCTCTGGAGGGCGTCTCGGGCCACGCAACCTTCTCCGACCGTGTCGGAACGCTCTGCAACCTTGGGACGTTCTGAGAGAGCTCCCCGTCCGAACCCCGCCCCCCTCCTCGAGCCTTCGACTTCCAGGGAGCCCGGGCCGCCAGACTCCCCGGACCCCCCCGCGTCGCGACACCACATCGGCGGCACGCGTGTTGCGAATCTCGGCTCAAAAAAGTGGGCGACCGGCCCAAGGGAGGGGGTCCATAGACCTCTGGGGGTCCAAGTCTGTTTGTTGTTGTGTTTTTCCTCTCTCTCTATATATATATAGATATATGCAAACAAAAAACAAACAAACAAACAAACAAACAAACAAGCACACACACGAACAAAACGACGTCGGGGGTCTGGGGGCCGCGTCCATCGCGCCCCACGATGCCGTGCGATGCGCGACGCGCGCCTCCGCGCCCCCGCGGGGCGAACTTGGAGAAGGGCAGCTCTCCTGCCCAGGCCGCGACGAGCGGAACGAGATGATCCTCGCGCCCCCGACGATGCCGCCTGGCTGGCCGGTGGTGGACGCTCTCGAGGAGTCTGTCCCGGAAGCTCCAGGGAGATCCGCGTGGGGGCCTCCTGGCGCCTCCTGGGCTCCCACCGCCTCCGCCCTCTGCCTCGCCTCGACATCGCTCGGACGTCCCTTCCCTGTGTTTTTGTTCGGTTTCGTGCGCGGCTTCTTCGCCAAATGATCAAGGATCAAGGATGCTCCTCGATGGCCCTCGCCGAAGGAAAAATGCACACGTCCGAGCGATGCCAAGTCGCCTCCCTCGTCCTCCCCTCTCCTCTTGGCGGCTCTGCTGCACGGGGTGGCCTCCCGCTCGGAGGGACGCGGGTGCCGGCGCAGCGCGGGCGCGCGGGGCTGCAGTGCCGCTGCCGGCCAGCTGCTGCCGCCTCCCTGGGCGAAGCCTCCCTGGGCGAAGCCTCCGTCCGCCTGCGCCCGGGCCCGCTGGGCGGGCCGACCCGCGCCCCGGTCGGCTTCGGTGCAGGCCAGGGGCGCCGGGCGGGAGCGTGCTCGCTCAGCGCCCGGATGATGGGGGCCCCTGCTGGACCTCTGCGGAGCGGCAGCGCCGGGGGTCTCCTCGGACCTCACTGGTGCAGGAGGACGGCGCGACGTCACCGGTGGTGGTGCAGTGCAGCTCGCGGACGACGCGTTCGTCCTGCAGCTGCACGGGGCGGGGCTGGCGCGCGGGAAAGCCGGGCTGGCGAGCTTCTGCCAAGTCGACATGCACCGCTTCCGAAGAGGCGCACAAGAGCCCCGCGGCCATGGCGGTGGCCGGGCTCGCCCCTGTCCAGCCGGCGTGCGGATGCGCCTGGTGGTGGCGCTGACGGACCGATCTGTCAGGCTGCCCCTCTAGTAGGAAGAAGAAGAAGAAGAAACAAATAAGCGCCATAAACATAAACTTTTGGCTCTCCGCGCGGATATCTCGGATCTGCGCTGGACTCCCCTCCCTGGCGCGGCGCGCCAGGGGCGGCGCCAGAGGCGCCGAAAGGGAACACAGCGCAGATCCAAGAAATCCGCGCGGAGCGGAGCGCCAAAAGCTTACGTGAATGGCGTATTCTCTTCTTCGATCATCGCAGCGTTGGCCGCAAGACTCGCCGGTGATGCCTGCGATCTGGGCGGCGCTGGAATACAAAGGCGGCCCATGGTTACAGGACGCTGCGGGTGGCGCAGGCGCTCGGAACGCCCGCGCTCCCGCTCCACTTGGCCGCCGCGGCCGTGGCAGGGCCAAAGGCCCATCGAAAGGCGGGCCGCTCGTCGGCCCGCGTGGCGGTGTTGCCCATGTTCCGCGAGGCGCTGCGAGCAGCTAGGCAAGCCCAACGACGAGATGACAACGCCGCGCGCCGCTGCAGGTGAGCAAGAGAAGTGCTGCCGAGGGCATGTCGCCGCTGACCCCCCCATGACGTTCGCGGTGGGGGCTCCGAGCCACCCTCGCCGAAGCTGACAAGCACGAGTGATGGGCGCGAAGCGGCGGACTAGGGTCGGCTGCGGGCAAGGGGGGGACGTGAGAAGAAGAACGCCTTCTCAGAAGGCGGCGGGACTTCCCAGAAGCCTGTCGGCCTTCTGAGCAACCTTCTGTGTCTCCGGGGAAGGGGAAGCTTCTGGGAAGGCCACGGAACTTCCGAGCCTTCTGAGAAGGCCCGCCCCTTCTCGCTTCCCCCCTCGCTCGCCGCCGATAAGGGCTGCCGCGCGGGGGGTGAGAGTGCCACTGCAACATGGCTGCGCAAGCGGGCAAGCAATTGCGTCATGCCGTGGCCCGTCGTCGCTTGCATTCTTGCCGATCCTGGCCTGCGGGTCCCTCCCTGGCCTGCGGGCCCCTACGCGCTTCCCCCTGGGCTGCGGCATGCTCTCCAGAGCTAACGCCTGCAGGACAGCGCCCCCGCCCTGGCGCCGACGGCCTCGAAGCCCTGCGAGCGGAGGCGTACGGCACGGGGTGGTTTCTGCGCTCCTCCTTCATACTATCCTCCTCCTACTCCTCCTCCTCCTCCTCCTCCTCATCCTCCTCCTCCTCCTCCTCCGTCTCCTCCTCCTCCTCCTCCTCCTCCGCATCCTCCTCCGTCTCCTCCTCCCAACTCCCCTCAGGCCTCCTCCTCCTCCTTCTCCTCCTTGACCTCCTCCTCCTCCTCCTTCTCCTCCTCTTCCTCCTTCAACTCCTCCTCCTCCTCCTCCTCCGCCTCCTCCTCCCCTGTTTTGTTTCAATGCGCGGCCCCAGAGGTCCCGACACCTGCCCTAGGTGCAGATTCTCGTTCCAGATCCATCTCTGATGGCCCTGGAGCCCCATACTGACTCCCAAGAGCCGACATGGAAGAAACCCGCCTGGACTGAAGAACTAATCATACCGTCGGAGATCTGGGACCCTTGCCCTCCCCCCAGGATGCCCCAAAAGGCGAAAACGAGGCGATGCTAGCGGCATCGGTATCGGTATATTTTCCTCCTCAGGGGGTCCGGGTAGAAGGAGTTCGCGATCATCTCCCCGAAGAACGGTGGGTACGGGCGCTCCAGGTGGGCGTAGAAGCCCCTCCAGGCCTGGTCACTGGGCAGGAAGAGACATCCTTCGGCCGCAGGGGGGGGGGGGGGGGGGCAGAAGAGGAGGGAGAGAAGGCCACTTTATCCTCCTCCGTCTCCCCTCCTCCTCATCCTCCTCCTCCTCCTCCTCCTCCTAATAAACATCATCATCCTCCTCCTCCTCATCCTCCTACTCCTTCCTCCTCCTCCTCCCCCTCCTCCTCCTCCTCCTCCTCACGCCTCCTCCTCCTCCTCCGCCTCCTCCTCCTCCTCTCCTCTGCGCTTCCTCCCCTCCTCCTGCGCCTCCTCCTGCTCCTGCTCCTCCTCCTCCTCTCTCCTCCTACTCCTCCTCGCCTCCTCCTCCCTCCTCCTTCACCTCCTCTAACTCCCCTTCCCACCTCTCCTCCAACTCCCTCCCCCCCCGCCTCCTCCTCCTTTCCCACTCATTTCACCTCCTCCGCTCCTCCTGACTTCTGCTCCTCCTCCACCTCCCTCTCTCCTCCGCCTCCTCCTCCTCCTCATCCTCCCTTGTTTTGTTTCAATGCGCGGCCCCAGTGGTCCCGACACCTGTCCCAGGTGCAGTTTCTGTTCCGGATCCATCTCTTATGGCCCCCGAGCCCCATGCTGACCCCCAAAAGCCGACATCGAAGAAAACCGCCTGGACTGAAGAAATATTCGTACAGTCGGATATACGGGACCCTTGCTCTCCTCCCTCCTCCCTCCTCCCTTTCTCCCTCCTCCCTCATCTTCCTCCTCCTTCTACTCCTCCTCATCCTCCTTCCTCCTCCTCCCCCTTCCTCCTCCTCCCTCCTCCTCCTCCTCCTCCTCCTCCTCCTCCTCCACCTCCTCCTCCTGACGTTTCTGACGTTTCTTCCTCCTCCTCCTCCTCCTTCTCCTCCTCCCACTCCTCTCCCCAGTGGGCCTTGTGTTCCCGCACCGCGCGCTTGAGGTGTGCGAGATGTTTTCGGAAACGCCAAGGGGAAGTGGGACCCGCTGAAGGGCGGTACCCAAGTTTCCCTGCTAGGCCGCGCGATGTACACAAGGGCCCTAAGGGTCATACGCAACGCATCTCTGGCTTCACCGCCTTTGATACATACGTAGAATGACATGTAGCCGTTGTGGCAACTACGCCGTGAATGGTGGGCCTGAACTTGAGGCCCAAAGCAGCTGGCTCAAAATCCGCTGTGGAAGCGTGGGGGATTCGCAGCACCCCTCTTAGGACCACGGGGAGCGGCCAAGGTGCTCGAATCCATTATTTGCTTTGGGCCTACGCCGCGTGAGATGATACAGGTTGGCGTGGGAAAGCACGCAGATGCAGACGCTCCCTGTTTGTGAGGTCTGGGCCTCATCCCGTTGCTATTCCATTCCATGCTGGCTTGTGTTGTCTCTACTGCTCGAAGTGCCCAGTCCATTCCTCCTCCGCCTCCTCCTCCTCCTCCTCCTCCTCCTGTTCCTCCTCCCCCTCCTCCTCCCCCCCTCCTCCTCCTCCTCCCCCCCCTCCACCTCCTCCTCCTCCTCCTCCTCTTCCTCCTCATCCTCCACCTCCTCCTCCTCCTCGTCGTCCTCCTCCTCCTCCTCCTCCTCCTCCTTCTCCTCCTCCTCCTCCTCCTCCTCCTCCTCCTCCTCCTCCTCCTCCTCCTCCCCCTTCTGCCGTCCTCCTCGTTATCCTCCGTCGCCTTCGCCCCACCACACACCCCACCCAGGGAAGAGCGGCAGCCACAGGAGCAGCGCCAGGATCCGAGCGAGGGGCGGGGAACGGGGGGGGGAGGGAGGAGGGCGGGGAGGGCGGGCGTGAGGGGGAGCCTGGGAGCCAACCGGTCGAGGGGCGAGGGCGGAGGGCGACGTCCAAGGCGGGAGCTATCTCTCAACACACGGGCGGCACGGGGGCGGAGGGCCGGCCTCTGCCGAGGGCGGGCGCGAAGCTCTTCTCGCGGAGGAACCTCACAATCTGCAGGGAGTGCAGGCTGGCGTTGCGGGCTCTCTCCAGCACCTTGGGCCGGTGAAGGGGGAGGCAGGAGAGCCCAGAATCGAATGGGTCCGTCGGATCGGCGATCGACATGAGCCGGACTTCGCGGACATCGGCAGCCAACTTGGGAAACGTCGCATCGGCAGACATCGGCAGGTTAGCAGGCCACCACTGAGAAATCGGAGCCCAAACCGAGGCGGAAGCGGAAACCATCGAAATCGAGGCGGAAGCGGAAGCGGAAACCATCGAATCGAAGCGGAAACGGAAACCATCGAAATCGAATCGAACCGAATCGGAATCCGAAGCCGAATCGAGGCGGAAGCGGAAGCCATCGAGATCGAACCGAATCGAATCGGAGGAATCGAAACGAGCTCCGCGGAGGAGGCCCCTCCTTCCCCTCGCCCGGGGGCCCGAGGCGGGCCGCCGGGAGCGCAGGCGGCCACCCTCGTGGAGGCGGTGGTGGGCCGGCACCGGGCCAGTCGTCTGCACGTGCGGCACAAGGAGCGATCGGTGCTCGGACGTCCATTCCCTGTGTTTTTGTTCGGTTTCGTGCGTGGTTTTCTCGCCAAATGATTAAGGATGCTCCTCGATGGTCCTCGCCGAGGAAGAAAAAACGCACACGTCCGAGCGATGCCAGGAAGGAACGATCGGTGCTCCTGAGAGGCACGGGTGCAGCAGGAGCTCAACCACAAGGAGCCTTCCGGGAAGGTCACGCTTCCCGTAGCAGCACCATAGAAGCCCGAGCAACCGAAAGCACCATGGAGGCAAGCAGGGTGTTTCTTGGCATGGGTCTCCTCTGCATCCACATGTGTGGCAAGTCGTGGCTGCCCCACGCTCCGGAGCGACCCCTCAACGGCGGGGGAGCACCCATCTGCCGTCGCACGGCCCCGTGGCAGGAGGAGAGCGCTGCTGCAACGCATTCGAAGAGCCATGCGATAAGGAAGAAGGTGGAGGAGGAGGAGGAGGAGGAGGAGGAGGAGCCAACGGCCCGATGAGGTCCGTCAGCTTCTGTGCCATGTCAGCAAAGCGCTCGCACGTCTCGTGGCCCCAGAAGGGGGCTCCCTCCACACATAGCCTCCCTCCGCCCATTTCGGCACACCCTTCGCACCTGTCGTGGCCCCACAGGCAGCCCCACCAACTGCTTCAGATTGGCGCCGACGTCTGGTGGCGCCGCGTCATTCATGCACACGCCTCACGTGTTTCGTGGGCCTGAGTGGCAGGTTCTGTTTGGCGGCGCCGCTCATTTCGGTACACCCTTTGCATGCTTCGCAGCCCCGTCGGGAGCTCCACCTTCGGCCAACGCTCCCACCGGCGCCGGGGAGGGCTCGGGAGAGGTCGATGAGGCGACAGACATCGCTCGTCAACCCGAAACTGCGGCAGCGGCGGCTGGGGAGCCTCCAGAGTGGACGATGGGGAGCGACAGATGACAGGGGGGGAAATTCGCTCAGGAGGGGAGCATGGGCCTGGAAGCAGCGATGCATCGCCGGCTCATCGACGTGAGGCCCCCGATGCCGGAGCTGCACGCTCCTGGGCGGGGCAGGCCCTCGGGCCCCTGTTGGCGATCAACGGGCGATCGGGGGCCGATGCATCCGCCCCGAGCCTGAGCCCATCTCCCCTTTAGCGTCCTCGCCGAGGTGGAGGAGAGGGAGGCGGGAGAGGGCGGAAGAAGCGTGAGTGGCCCTGCCCACACTCCGGGGGTCTCTGGCGCCGGCCGCCGTGGGGGCCTTGCCCACACTGAGGTAGAGGTCGTCGCTCCGCTGCCTCGTCTCTTCGTCCACGTTGGACCTCGCGCTGTGCTTGGCTTGCTCTGCTGTTCGTCCTGCTCCTCCTTAGACCTCGTCCTCAGACATCGTCCCTTCTCCTCCTCCTCCTCCTCCTTTCCACTTCCACATCCTCCCTCCTTCTCTTCCTCTTCCTCCTCCTCCTCCTTCTCCTCCTCCTCCTTCTTCTCCTCCTCCTCCTCCTCCTCCTTCGCCTCCTCTCCCTCCTCAGACCTCATCATTACCCCCCTCCTCCTCCTGTCCTCCTTACGTACGGTCCTACTGCTCAACGTCCTGCACCCGTCCCACGCGCTGCCTTCTCCCTCTGGTGTGAATCCCCCTCTTCGCCATCCTCCTCCCCCTCCCCATTATCCTCCCAAATCTCCTTTTCCTCCTCCTCCTCCATCGGCCTGCTCCACATCCCTCCCCCTCCCCGACCTCCCACTCCCCCTGCTCGTCCTCTGCTCCTTCTGCTCATGCTCCTCAGTACCCTCCTCCTCCCCTCCTCCTCCCCTCCTTCTCCCACTTCTCCTCTAGTTCCCCTCCCAGTTCTGTCTTCTCTTCCTCATTATCGTCCTCCTCCTCATCTCCCCCTCCCCCTCCTCATCTCCCTCCTCCTCCTCCTCCTCCTCCTCCTCATCATCATCATCATCAGCATCATCATCATCATCACCATCATCGTCATCATCATCATCGTCATCATCATCACCACCACCACCACCATCATCATCAGCATCACCATCATCATCATCATCAGCATCAGCAGCATCACCATCATCATCATCATCATCATCATCAGCATCATCATCATCATCATCATCATCATCAATCCCCCTTCACCTCCAATTCCACTCCTATCTCATCCTTCCCCTCCTCTTGGCCCTTTCCCACTACTCATCCGCCTTCTTCTTTCTCCGCATACTCCCCCCATCCATCCTCGTCCTTCCCTCCCCTTTGCCCCCCCACCCCCCCTGCCCAAACCCTCGTGCTACATGGCCAGTTTCCTCCACGCCTCCCTCATCATTCCCCTCTTTATTGACGACACCTTTCAATCAATCCTTCCTGCTTCATCCTCGTCATCCCTTACCTGCCGTTCCCTCCTTCCCATCATCATCCTTCTCCTCCTCCTTCTGCGCCCGATCCTTCCTCCTCCACCTCCTCCGCGAACAGTACTTCCTCCTCCTCCTTCCTCCTCCTCCGCTTCCCTCTCCTTCTTCCTCCTCCTACTCCTCCTCCTCCTCCACCCCTCCTCCTCCTACTCCTGCTCCTGCTCTTCCTCCTCCTGCTCCTCTCCATTCCTGCTCACGCTCTTCTCCTCCTCCTCCTCCTCCAACTCCCTCCTCCGCCTCCTCCTCCTCCAACTCCTCCAACTCTCCTCCTCGCCCCGCTCCTCCTCCTCCTCCCCCGCTCTCTCCTCCTCCTCCTCCTCCTCCTCCTCCTCCTCCCCTCCTCCCACGCCTCCTCCACCTCCTCCCCCCACATTCCTTCACCTTCTTCTGCTCCTCCTCCTCCTCCTCCTCCCTCCTCCTCCTCCTCCTCCTCCTGCTCCCTCCTCCTCTCCTTCTTCCTGTGCTGTCCTCGGAGCCGGCCTGGGGCGGCTCCTCGGGAGCGCCGAGGCCAACAGCGCGAGCGCCCGCAGGACCGGCCGGCGGGCGCCCTCACCGACCGGCGGCGGCCGCTCGTGGTGGCGAGGCCCCGTGCCGAGCTCACGCGGGAGGCTCCGGACGGGGGGGGGTCGAGGAGGAACGCGGAGGAGGACCGCGGAGGAGGAGGAGAAGGAGGAGGAGGAGGAGGAGGAGTGCGGCGGAGGGGGTCGAGGAGGATCGCGGAGGACGGGGAGGAGGAGGAGGACAAGGAGAAGGGGAAGGAGGAGGAAGAGGAGGAGGAGGAGGAGGAGGAGGAGGAGAAGCCTGAGGAGGAGGAGGAGGAGGAGGAGCGAAAAGCCCCTTGGAGAGCACGGGAGGGGCTCCTGCGAGGCGGGACGCTTTCTCGTGTCTCTTCGATGGAGGCTCGCACAGCGAGGGCGCGGGCGTTCCACAAACACACACACATACACACATGCAAACACATGCGCACACACATGCACAGACACAGACATGCATACACACACATCCAGACACACAGGCACACACAGACACATAGACACATACACACACAGACACAAACATACACAAAGACACACACAGACACACACAGAGACACACACACACAGACACACACAGACACACACAGACACACACACACACACACACACGCATGTAGACAGACACATGCAGACACACACACAGAGACACACAGACACAGACACACACGCACACACACATACACAGACACACACACACACACACACACACACACGCAGACACACACACATACGCACACACACACACACAGACACGCACACACACACAAACACACACACACACACACACTAACACACACAGACGCACACACAAACAGGCAAACATAGACATACACAGACACACACATACACACACATACACACACTCGAACACGCACACAGATACAGATACACACACACACACACGCACACCGACACACACACACAAAGGCACACACAGACACACGCGCGCGCAGACAGCACGACGTCCTCTCGACTAACCTCTAACCTCCGCCGCCCTACCCCATTACCTGGATATAGATTGTAGAGCTCAGATGGAGACCTGAGCTGGAGGACTGACTCGTACGGCTGCTTTGAGTGACTCGTAGACCACTCCGCTCCGTTCCGCCCCTCCCCCTCGCTGCTGCTGCACTCGCGCAAAGGCGGCCCCTGGCGCGCGTCACACTGCACCTCGCCGGGCATCCCACCGCATGAGGGCGTCGAGAGGCGGGCACCCAACAACCTCTCTCTCCTCCTCCTCCTCCTCCTCCTCCACCTCCTCCTCCTCCTACCTCCCTCCTCGTTCTCGCTGTCCTCCTCCTCCTCCTCCTTCCTCCTCCTCCTCCTCCCCCCTTCCACCCCATTTCCTTGCTCCTCCCCTCCATCTCGTCATCCTCTTCTGCATCTGAGCTCCTCGCTTCCCCCCAACCTCCTCCTCCTACCCCTCCTCCCCCTCCTCCTCTTCCTGCTGCTTACCTCCCCTCCTCCTCCTCCACCTTCTCCTCCCCTTCTCCTCCTCCTTCTCCTTCACCTGCCTCCTCTACCTCCTCCAGCCTCCTCCTCCCCTCCTCCTCCTCCTGCTCCCCCTGGCCTCCTCTCCCCTCACGTGCCCCCCTCCCTTCCTCTTCCTCCCCCCCGTCCCCCCCCGTCCTCTTAGAACCCAAGCACGTTCTTATAGTCAGAACAGTCTTCTCAGAACATAAACCCGATGAAACACAACAAAACAATCCCAGCCAGAAATGCTCTATGAACATTTCGTGCAAACTTCAAACAGGTTCTTAAACATTCTTTGGTGGGCCTATATGCATGCCAACTCGCTTCGCCACTGCTCGACCCTCCTCGGCCGGGGCGCCCCGCCAGCTGGCGACCTCACGGGGTAGTCGCCGTGCGCATGGCTCCAGTCGTGGACGGCCCTCCCCCCGCGGGCACGCCGCGCGCGGCCGTCGGGGGGGGGGGGGAGCAGCGGGTACACCGAGGAGGGAGGCTTCGGCAGAGGAGCCCCCTCCCTCCTCCCACCCTCCCTCACTTCTCCCTCCCTCCTCCCTCCTCCCTCCTCCGTCCTCCCTCCTCCCTCCCTCCTCCCTCCCTCCCCCCCTCCCGCCTCATCCTCCTTCTCCTCCTCCTCCTCCTCCCCTCCTCCTCGTCCGCCTCTTCCCTCCTCCCTCCTCCCGCCTCCCGCCTCCCTCCTCCCTCCTCCCTCATCCTTCTCCTCCTCGTCTGCATCCTCCTTCTCCTCCTCGTCCGCCCCCTCCTCCTCCTCGTCCTCCTCCTCCTTCCCCTCCTCCTCCTCCTCCTCCTCCATCCCTTTTCCTTCTACATAACTTCTCCCTGTCGCACCCCGAGGCCAGGTTTTAGGGCGGGCCGGGCGTTTCGCCTGAGACTTCCTCACCAATTATGACCTTGAAATTTGAACATTGGCAGCATTTTCACAGATGGAGGGCGGGTCGTCTTCAAAATGTGGCTCTCGAAAATGCGCCGCGCGCATTCGTTGTAAAAGTGTGCAAGGGCTTCACTGATTGAGGGCTGTTATTTTTCAGATTGCGGCAGTCGCCGAAGCGCCGCACATTCTTCTTTTTGTTAAAACACGTTGCAAGAGTTTCACGGATCCAAATGCTGAGCGTACCAGAAACGGCGTTCTGGAAGGATTCATGGTTGTGAGGGTGTAACACTTACGTTGGTTCGTGGAGTTGAAGTCCCAGACATGGCTTTCTGGTACGATTCAGGAGCGTCAAGACGCAACGGTCAGGTTGATCCGCGGCATTGGCATTCCGAGAGTAATGTTTTTGGCATGCTTCAGGGTCGTTGTCGTCCAATGAGGCAGTTCCCCCAGTGGAAATGAACCGCTGCACGGGCCTGTGAAGAAGGATAAAGGAGGGAGGGTTTATTTTAACATCGTTGATGACTTTGGCTTTACACTAGTCTTCCTCATCCCCCTCCTCCTCGTCTGCATCCTCCTCCTCGTCCGCCCCTTCCTCCTCCTCTCCTTCTCCTCCTCCTCCTCCTCCTCATCCAGTCCTTTTCCTTCTACATAACTTTTCCCTGTCGCACCCCGAAGCCAGGTTTTAGGGCGGGCCAGGCGTTTCGCATGAGACCTCCTCACCATTCATGAACCTGAACACTTTCACAGATGGGGGGCGGGTAGTTTTCAAAATGTGGTTCTCGCCTTGGCGCCGCGCACACTCGTTCTAATCATTTGCAAGAGTTTCACGGATGAAGGGCGGGTGGTTTTCGAATTGTGGCTATCGCCTAAGCGCCGCGCACATTGGTTTAAGCAGAATTACAAGAGCTTCACGGATTGAGGGCGGGCAGTTTTCAAGATGTGGCTCTCGCCCCAACGCCGCTGGCACTCGTCTTCAAACTGTGCAAGGAGTCTCGCGGATTGAACGCGTTTCCTTTTCAAAATGTGGCTCTCGCCGTAGCGCCGCGCACACGGTTAAGGGCGGATGGTTTTCAAAGTGGCTCTCGCCCCGGCACCGCGCACATTCGTTTGAAATATTTGCAAGACTCCACGGGTTTAGGGCGAGTCGGTTTCAACATGTGGCTCTGGCCTTGCCGCGGTGCACATTCGATTTTTATATAAAAGGTGCGAGGACTTCACGGATTGAGGGCGGCCCGTTGTCAAAATGTGGCTCTCGCCTTGGCGCCACGCATACTATTTTCGAACAGGTGCAAGAGCTTCACGGATTCAGGGCGGTTCCTTTTCAAGATCTGGCTCTGACCCTGGCGCCGTGTACATTTGCTTATATATATATATAACTACAAAAAAAACTCTAATTCTTTCACGCGCTCCCATGCTCAGCGTACCAAAACCGTGATTTGGAAGGATTCCCGATTATGAGGGTGCAACACTTACTATGGTTCGCGGTGTTGAAGTCCCAGGTATGGCGTTCTGGCACGATTCAGGGTCGTCAAGACGCAACAATCAGGTTGATCCGTGGCGGTGGAGTCTCGAGAATAATGGTTTGGCATGCTCAAGAGTCGTCAAACGGTGGTCTTCCAACGAGGCGGCTCCCTCAGTGGAAATGAACCCTTGTAGGGGCCTATGAAAATGGAGCTCGGAGGGAGCGTTTAGGCCAACAACGTTGATGACTCTTGGGTTTACACTGGTCTTCCTCCTCCTCCTCAACCTCGTCCTCCCTCCTCCCGCCTCCCTCCTCCTCCTCCTCCTCCTCCTCTTCCTCCTCCTCCTCCTCCTTCTCCTCCTCCCCCCTCCCTCCTAGCTCATCCCTCCTCCCTTCTTCCTCCGCCTCCTTCCCCCCTCCCTCTTCCACCCTCCCTCCTCAATCCTCATCCTCGTCCTCGTCGTCGTCCTCATCCTCGTCCTCCATCTCCTCCTGGCTCCTTCCCCCCTCCTGCCTCCTCTCCCTCCTCCTCCTCCTCCTCCTCCGCCTCCCCCCCTCCCTCCATGGGAAAAGGTGTAGCCATGCCAAAGCGACACGGGTGGCATACATACACCTCTTCCGATCAGAACCAGCCGCGTTGAGTTCTTGATCGCGCACCTGTAATGCGGGCGCCAGCGACAAGGCGCAAATGGAGTGAGCACATCACAGCCCGAAGTTCTACGCTGCTGTCCACAATGCGGATCTTGTGCTAAGCGCCGAGAAAGCAACCTGAACCCGCCAGCCTCCATTGCAGTATGGTCCGACCGTGTCCTTGCGCAGCGCATTGTGCTTGCTCAGTAGGGGTGGCCCGCCTAATGAGACGTGGTCGGCGATGCGTGAGACGGATGGACATGGCCCTCCACCCCGTTCGCACTCGTGGTGCCTACTGGGGCGTGCGCGCGGAAACTGGCAAGCAGGCGAGGCAACTGGCTACCGAAAACGCTCTCTTGACAACGCTTGCCTCGGCTGTGACTCGCACTGTTCGCGTCTCTGATACGATTTGGACGCCCGAAGTGGATACGGAAAACATGAGTACAATGCCCAACAACAAACGTTGGTCAAAACTGACGGCGGCCGCTGCGGCTTTTTCGTCTTCGAATAGTAACGTCCGCGGCGGCGCGGACAGCGATCCATGTTCAAAATAAACAGGAAATGCTGTTGGGCATCGTACCCATTCTTTCCATACAGTGGAGGCCAGACCACAAGAAACCTTCCACAAGAAACCCAACCCTGAGACCCCAGGACGTCCATCGATTTTTGGTGTGGGAACGTCGCACGTCCCATGGCAGAACCATCGAAACCATCGAACCCCAGGGCACCCTGGAGGCAAGCAGGATCTTTCCTGGCACGGGCCTCCACTGTACCGCTTCCTTCCATACCCACTCCGCTCGTCCCGAGTCCGAGACGATGTATTTGCGCGGGGGTTGCAGGGTGAATGGAGGAGGAGGAGGAGGAGGAGGAGGAGGAGGCGGAGGAGTAGGAGGAGGAGGAGGAGGAGGAGGGGGAGGGGGAGAAGGAGACGGAGAGGAGAGAGAGAGAGAGAGGAGGAGGAGGAGAGGAGGAGGGAGGAGGAGGAGGGGAGGAAGGAGGAGGAGGAGGAGGAGGAGGGAGGAGGGAGGAGGCAGGAGACTTGGGCCGTCCTCGTCGGTGGCGTGCCGTGGCCGCCTGGCGCCTCGGTGCTGGGCGCCCCCCCCCTTCGCACAGGGGAGACCGGAGCCAACCCGTGATCGGCACACAGACTGCGGTAACTCCGCGTCCGACCAACCTTCTCCTCCCTACTCCCTTCTTCTCCACCGACCCTCCTCCCTCTCCCTCCTCCCCTCCTCCCCCGTCTCCCTCGTCCCTCCTCCCTTCTCCGGCCGGCCGCACACCTCCTCCTCTCTTCCTCCTCCGCCTCCCTCCCTCCTGCCTCCTCCAACCGACTGTCTCCTCCGTCTCCCTCCTCCTCCGTGCCAGTGGTGCGCACGGTTCAGCGCCCCGCGGTGTGTGGGGAATAATGGGTGCAAGAAACATAACCATCACACATCAGGCAACCTGACGGGCCGCAATCCTCTGCCTGAGGGCTTCCAATCCGGGTAGCAGCTCGCTTCCGCTTCCTGCGGCATTTTGGCCAGGCTGCTGGAAGACAGTACTTCGCTGAGGGGACCGCTGGGTCTGCAGCAGCCTCTCGCGTTCCACCTCACTTGAGCTGTGGCGCACATCCTCAGGAGTCGCACAATTCGACTGTGGGTGGAGACCTGGGAGCATTCGACCGAGGTGGCACCGAGAAGCACAGGATAGGACATGACCTCGACATGGCTTCTCCAGCTGCCCACTGCCGAATTCCACACTGCACATGTCGCACAACCGACGATGCGCAAGACTGGGGCCACTGGTCAGTCGTGTGCAGACGACGAACGCGTGACCGTCCTGCTAGGGGAGCCGCCGACACAGAAAGGTTGCGTCGCTTTCCAAGGCATCAGGACACACCAAGATCCAGGGCTGAACCTAAACGGTGTTTTTCGTTTTCGTTTTGTATTCGTTGTCCCTCGTGTTGTCTTCAATCCACCTCCACTGCAAAACGAAGTCGAAACGAAAACGGCCCACGAAATCGCCCAAACACCGCTTAGGCCCAGCCCTGCCAAGATCTACGGCACAAGTGTTCGAAGCCCGCGCGTCATGACGGAGGACGGTCCCTGGAGCTCCAGGCACCGCCGCCGTCCATGCAGGCCGCCGTCCCGCGGCTGCACTGCGCGGGCGGGGAACCTCGGGTCGCTGTCGACGCCGCGTGGCGGGCGAGGCAGTGCGGAGGTCAGCGAGGACGAGAAACGGCGGGGGGGGGGGCAGCGGGATCGATGCGATCGGGCCCGCCGAGGAAAGGGGGGCCAGAAGGTCACCGAGGGCAAAGCCCGCTCGCCAGAAGCGTTTGTATTTGTGCTGCGCTCGGTGGGGGTAGACGCATCGTAATTACCCCGACGCGTGTGCGCGGACTGGGGTGGGCCCGGGGACATGCCGACAGAAGACGGGGCCATCACGCCGGAGAGATGTGAGGGCCCTGGCCATGGCACCTTTCCCCCTCCCCCCCCCACCCCCTTTCAACGCCCCCGATGGGCACGCCGGGGGAGCAAAAACGGGGGCAACACAGACGGCATACGGCATGCGCTTCCGGAGGGCCGCGCGGACTCCTCGCGTCGGCGCGGGGCCCCCCGCCCATCTCCACACCCCTGCGGGCCCCTTGCCCTGCCCGGCACCGCCACGAGCCCGCTCCGCGCGTCGGCGCCGCAGGCGGACGGGCGGACGGACGGGCGCCGCTGCGAGAAGAAGTCGGCCCCCCGGGGGGGGGGGCTGGGCCGGGCGGGAGGCGCCGCGGCGCTCGGGTGCCCACGACGTGTCGCCTGCAGAATGCGCGCTCGTGACGACGACGACGACGACGACGACGACGACGACGACGACGTCATTGTCATCGTCATCAACTGTCATCGTCGTCATCAGCTGATGACACGCAGCCGCGCCTGCAGCAGCGCTGTGCCAGCTTTCGCGCGAACCCTGCTCAAGCCTTCGCCGCGCCACTGAACAAAAAAAGGGTGCTGGGGGAGGGGGGCTTTGGAAGGGGCCCCGCGCCGACCCGAGGCTCAAATCCGCAGGGCCCTCCGACAGGTTTTGTGCCTTTGGTGCGCTCTCCTGCGCTCCCTGTCGAGGGGATGGGATCGGGTCTCGAGGATCCATCGGCTTCTCGCGCGGCGGGGGAGGGGGAGGAGGTGGGGAGGGCGGAGGCTAGGCGAGGCGCCGACGCACGAAGGACGGCCCTGTGAGGGCACGGCGTTTGGATCCGAACCGGGGATGCACTCTGGATCCCTGCGTGACTCATGAGCGTGACTTCTCCCAGGGCCAGCGCGGGCGCCAGGAGGCGCCCCCCGCAAGTACAGCAGGAGCTCGGCCGCAAGAAACCTTCCACAAGAAACCCAACCCTGGAAGCCCAGGACGTCCATTCCACTGATCTTTGGTGTGGGGACGTCACGTTTTCCATGGCAGAACCATCGAAACCCAAGAAACCAAGGGCACCCTGGAGGAAAGCCGGGTGTTTCTTGGCATGAGTTTCCACTGTAGGTCTGTGGTCTGGACGTCGGGAGTCTTTCAGGGGGGGGGCCGGGGGGCGCGCCCGACGGAAAAGAGGCTCCTCGCTACTCACCCGTCGAGGGGACGGCCGTGGCGTGCGGGAAGCGAGCCCAGAGAGGACCGATGGGGGGAACCAGAAGATCAGAACCCTGGTGTGCGTTCCGAAGAGAACTTCGAGGCGAATCCAGCGGTGGCAACGAGGGCCTCCCAGGAGGCCCCCAGGAGGCGAAAACGAGGGAAGGGTAGCGGTATGGGTACCCTTTCCTCCTCTGACCGATGGCCACGCACCACGATTAGTCCTCTGCCCCGACGCGATCTGTTCGTGTCCTACGTAGGCCCCGGGGCTCTCGGGCCCCCTGCCGGTGGCTCATCCTGGGCCGCGCTGCGGGGGCCCGTGCGCCAAACATGGCTTCCCCGTGCCGAGGATGGCGCAAGGAGAGCCGTCACGTCGCTCTCGCTGTTGGTGCGACGCCAGGGCTGGGCCGGGCATGTCCTCCTACAGGCGGAGTTTGGAAGAACAGTGGGAACAGTGAACAGATGCTCAAACTTGAACCAGCAACAATCAAAAAGCATCCTCCCCTGATTGTTGTTTGCCTATTTTTGAACGTTCCTCCTGTAGAGGGACATGCTCGACTTGACGCCAGGGTCTGAGGGACGGTCGTCGGCGACGCCGAGGGCGCCGGTGCGGTCGCCGGGCGAAGCTCCGCAGGGGCGGCTTCCCCCTCGCGGCGTCGGCTGCCCTCGCGCCGGGTGCGTGCACCCGCTCGGGCCGGCGACGGCCACGGCGGCGATGGCCACGGCGGCGGCGCCCCCGAGACCGGCGACGGCAAGGAATGGTAAGTAGGAGACCGATTTCTGACCACACCCACTTCCCGAGGTGCCTTGCGAAAAGCGGTTTCCAGAGGTGGAGGTGGGCAATTTCCCCGTCCCAGGGGAAGGACAAACTACCCACTTCCACCCCCGAGGGCCTATCATAGAATCGAGGATCCAGGTGGATGTGGTCAGAAATCGGTTTTCGAGTAAGGCTTCGGATTGCGCGCAGACAGCTCCCCGAGGCAGTCCCAGCTGACCTCAACAGGCCCGCGAGTACTCCAGGGCGGCCTCAACGCCCCAACCCTCCAGGTCGCCGCCGCAGGCGGCGCCAGAGGGCCGCCGCTGGGCTGCCTGCTGAGGCCAGCTGGGACTACCTGTGGGGCCTGTCTGTTCGCAACCCGAAGCCTTGAGCCAACAACAGGCCTCGCTGGCCACTCCATCTCGGGGATCTGGTCGCCCTCGCCGTTTGAGACCGCCCTGGGCTCCTCGGGGGGGCCTGTTGAGACCAGCTGGGGCCACCTGGGGGGCCTGTCTGTTCGCAACCCGAAGCCTTGCCAACAACGACCCACTCAGGGATCCGCTGACCCGGGTCAATCCAGACCCAGGTCAGTCAGGCATTCCAGGATCCTGCAGGATCCTGCGCCCAAGCCCGGGTCAAAACGCCCCTGGCGCTGCAGGATCCTGCAACATCCGGCGCTGTGACTGGACCCCGTTTGCATTGACCCCCGTCTCAAGGTCCCCGAACCCGGGAGAGCCCAGAATCGAATCGACAAGTCGGATCGGCGATCGAAATGAATCGCATCGGCGGAAAATCGGCAGCCAAGTTGGGAGAAGTCGAATCGGCGAAAATCGGCAAGCCAGTGGATCTCCATCCAGGAACCGGAGCCCACATCGGCATCCGAAGCCGAACCGAATCGGAATCGGAAGCGCTCGAAAATCTCGGGGGCGGCCAAGAGGGGGGTGTCCTAGAGGGGGGGGCGCAAATCATGGCCGGCGGCACGTGCGCGGCCCAGGAAGGGGCTGGGGACGTCATGAAATAAGAAGAGGCGCCATGACATCTGGGGAGATACCATGGCCCCAGCCACGATATCCACACCCCCCTAATCATCACCCCCCTCATTGCCGCCCCCGAAATCGAATCGGGCCGAGACGGAGGATCGCAATGAGCCCTGCCCGAGCCCCGCTGGCCAGTGCATCTCGGGGATCTTGCCGTCCTCGCCGTGCTCCAGCAACTGCTCGGCCGCCACGGGGCGCTGCAGCAAGGACACGCGCAGCTCCTCATTGGGCCGGGCGGCGGGGAGGACCGCGAGAGTGCTCCCCTGCTCGGCCGCCCCCCTGGCGGAGGAGAGCCTCCTCCTCCTCCTCCTCCTCCTCCTCCTCCTCCTCCTCCTCCTCCTCCTCCTCCTCCTCCTCCTC